AATGTCGAGGCCCAATTAAATTAATTGTATTATGGTCCAAAATCAAGGTCCAAATGGAAACAAAAATTTTGAAACGAATATATGATTTAATATATTTCTAATATTTATAAAATTACTATAGAGATGCTAAAAAAATGCTCAAAAAAAGAAGTTAAAAGCATGATTACCTAGTCATTTTTAGCACAAATTTAGTCAGAAATAGTCACATATATTTATAGAAATTATTAACAGAATATGCCTAAATAGAATAAATACATCCATCGTAGCAACTGAAAGTCAATTTATAAAATACTCCCCCCATCATGCAAATATGTATTCATTTTACCGGGCACAAATTTTAATAAAAGTAAATAACAATTATTAATTTTTTTTTTATAGTAAAAAAAGTATAAAAGTGAAATAATTTTTTATTTTAAAAAATAAAAATATTTTTCGATTATAACCGAAAAAGGAAATTGAACATAGATTTGAACAAGAGAGGGAGTACTTTTTTTTTTAACATGTGTAGATAAATGCTTACAAATCACATTCTTTCAGTAGGCACAACTCTCCGTCAAATTCGTTTTATTTTTTAACTGAATTTGATAATATCTTATTCATTATTTTTATTTTTATTTTTATTTTTTTTAAAAAAAATAGATGATTTATTTGTCAGTATACGTCATCGCTTTCCACGTCATTGATAGATCATTATTAACGTGATTTATTTCATTCCAATTATTTATTTATTTACATTAAACTCAATTAAAGAAAAATATATATACTGTAAGGGTGCATGCCGACCACGTTCAATGCACCATAAGGTGCCACGTGTCCACCTGGCTTCTTGCTTGCATTTTCTGATTGGGTGCGATTCTTCGTTATAAGCCCTACCTACAATCTCTCGTTTCTCAAATCTCCTCTCCCATACCAAAAAAAAAAAAGTTCTCATCGGAAATGTTCCCTACCGTCTCTTCCGTCGCAACTACCGAAATTATTTCCCGGTACCGGCCGATTGCGCCGCGGCCAGAAACTTCCGGAACTGACAGTTCTGCCCAAATCAATGGCGAGTCCGAGTCGCCGCAATTTAGAAATCATCGGACTTACCACCAAACCCGCCGTACCAGGCCGAGGAAGCGCCGCCGACTTCACGCCGTCGCGCCGGAAGCCGGCGGTGGTCGGCGTAGGGGCAGGCCGACTACTCGGAAGGTGAGCGTGTCCGGTGGAATAGATTTGAATCGTCCGGCTGAGCCGTTGGACGATGATGAAGTTAAGCCGGCGGTCGTTATGCCGAAACCGGTCCGACCGGTCCGGTCGAGGATCATTGTCACCTATAACATTCAATATGATTAATTAATTTATTTTTTTATTTCTAACTAAATTTGAAAATAAATAAATAAATAAAAATATTATGTAGTTTTTTAAATAGATTTGTAGGTCAGATCAAACTTTTAAAAAAGCCATGCCCAGACTTTTAAAAGAAAATTTCAGGTTTACAGGCCAGATATTTTAAAAACATATCAAACTTATTTAGCTCAAGTTTGGCCTGGTCTGACCTATTTCCACTCGAGGCCCCTACCCAAAATATATTATGTTATAATTCATCTCTACTTTTTTTTTTCCTATATTCTTTTTATTACAAACTCTGATTTTTTTTTTAATAAAAAATAGTCATTACATTTATTTTAAAAATATATATTTATTTTTGGTATAAAGTTTAAAAAAATAATTATTTTAATTATAATAAGTAGTTAAAACAGTGTAAAAGTGATTTTATCTTTAATCTTTGGTGTAAATTTATTGATTTTGATTTGAAATAGTGAAAAAACAAACATGTAATAATATGATGATAAAATATGAATATTTATAGGAAAAAAAAATAGGGTTTAGAGTTACTTACAATCCAAAATAAATATATATTTTTTATTAGTGGATAAATTGAGTATTTATTTATCACACTTAAATCACATTAAGTTATTATTTCACTTAAAAATTATGTGTTTATTTAATATTTTAGTTTGAAGTATTTATTTTATACTATGAGATATGTGAATTGTATCATTAATATTAAAAATAATATTTTGTATTGAATAATAATTTTATGGGAAAGAATATAATATATTATTACTTTCGTTTCAAAAGAAGATTACCATCGACTTTATATGTGTAGATATTTGAATATTAAATTTTATATTAATACATAATGCAAATTATTATAAAAAATAAAAATATCTTCATTAATCTTTATATTTATGAAATAAATTATACAAATATAAAATTATTTTAATGTTAAATATGCAAAAAATAATAATAAAAAAAAATAGTACTCTTCTTATGAGATATGTAATATATATTGAGAATTATGTTAGTTTAAAAAAAATGTTTGAATGAACAAAAATCAAAAATTTATATCGACAAAATATAAATCAAAAACATATTTAATTTACAATTTTGAGGCTATGGTTATTATTTTCTCTGTTTCTATAAATATAATTTGTGTAATATAAATATCGATTATCGAATACTTATTTTGTATTTAATTAACTATACCATTAAATTTTTTTTTTCTATTTAAAATGTTAATAAAAAAATAATTCAAAATATCAACAATAAGTTAAGCTCTATTTAGAGTTATATTTTGTTATTTTTTATTTTTTAAGAATGAAAATAATAAAACTTAATTTGAATATTTGATGTACTATAAAATAATTATATTTACCAAGAATTCAAAAAAATATAAAAGTAAACAGATATATAAGTTCAGGTGAACGAAGAAAAATCATCAACAAAAATCATAAAATATTTATACGAATTCAATGATCCTTGTTAAGATATATGTAATATTGAAAATTCAAGATGCTTCAATTCGAAATTAAATAACAGACCTGATTAAGAACATATTCGAGTTTTGCGTTGCACGCGATCTCTTTGAAGCAAATTTGGCCCGCCACCGATTGCTTCTCAGGATAAAACGAATCGATTAGGGAGTTACAGTCCCACCACAAACCGAACCAAGAAACTATAGAAGTTTTTTGAGAAAAAATTAAAAGGAAAAGGAAAACATAGAGTCGAGAGCATATTTTTGATTCACGTTCAAGTGGCCACTAAAACCATAACCACCTCCACACGTTTTAATATTTGTTGTAATGCTTTTTATTTTTCCGATTAAAATTTGAAACAGTCAAAATTGATTAATAAAATAAAATTTAAAATAATTGGAACTTTTCTACGATTGGGCCCAGCTCAATCTTCGATCTCTCTCCCTATATATATATAATGATTTATCAGCAACAAATAAATTTTGATCATATTGTTTTTCAAAATTAAATGCATACAATCAAAAGACGAAATCTAAGACACCTTTGTTGACAAGAAATTGGAGACTGTTTACAAACGCATGCCCTAATCAAAAATATAAAAAAATCAGAATAACAAAATCCAGTATATTTTAGAAAAAATTATAATTTAAATATCTTACTATCCAATTCAAAATACTTCTCTCATTATCATATCCTTCATTCACCTTAGTAATTTATTATGAAGTATTTATTTATTTATTCATGCTCAATCCAAAACACTATTTCAATATAAAATAAAATTAAGATTTAAATATCTAAAACACAATTACATAACTAGTCCATGAAACGTTCATATTATTATTCATTTATTTCATAGTAATTTTTACCAAAAACGTTTCATGAAAAATTTATTATTTCATACTATTCTCTGGAATCATAATTTTTCCCGAGATGTCGATATCTTCTCTCTTCAATCTCACATCAATTTCCTCTAACCCATCGAGGAAGGACACTCGTGAGTGCGATCACATTGCCCGACGCATGCAGAAACTTTGTCGACATCTTTTTCAGTAAGATCTGACACAAATTTTTTATAAAAAATAATATTAATCATCGTACTTACAAAAAAATATAAAATTCGAATTAGAAATTATTTAAAATTTCTTACGCTGAGAAAAAACATTGTTGCATTGTCTTTCTATACAAGCCTCGCAAGATTCGTTAACCGGATTCGGAGGAACGAATTTGCATCGAGCGGCGCACATCGCAAAACACATAGGCGGAAGTGGTGTGAACACACAAGTAGGAAAAGAACAGTTTAGAAAACATTTTTCGAAATTTGATAACGACAAAACTCCGCTCGAAAACAAAAGGACTATAGCTAAAACACTAACCGTTGCTCGAATATTTTTGGCCATATTCATAACTTTCGATTTTGTATAAGTATTATTTACATATATATATATATATATTTCTTCTTTTTATTGTATGAACATTGTGGAAATGAGTCACTATTTATACTATAAAAAATGGCTTAAAAAATTAAAATATTTGGTGCATTAAGTAGGTGGTTTTAGTATGGTGTTTGGTGACAGTTGAAATTAATATAATCAATTTATTATTATTACTGTAATATAGGTTATTTGTTATATTCTTAATTATTTAGGTTATTTATTTATTAAGCATTGAAATCAAAATTAATATTATTATACTTTTTCTATTAAAAAAATATAATAATTATTTGTTTTCACAAAATATTAAATTAAAATACTATTTAAATAAAATTTTAAATTAATATGTATTGATTTGATAATTTGCGGAAAAAAAAAAAAAGATATATTTGATTTGTGATGTTTTGGTTAATTTGATTTCTTTGTACTAATCACCATTTTTTTTAAAAATATTATTTTTTATTTATTATATTAAAATAGAAATTAATGTTTATTCAAAATATTGAATTAATTTATATTTGTAAAGTACAAATTTTAATAAAAATATATTTTATTTATAAAAAAAAAATGCATTTCCGGCGTACAAAAAGAAATTCACACATGAGACGAATAATTTTTAAAATTCAGTTGGAGCCCACTAAAATATTAAAACTCAGGTGAAGCCCGCTCAATGGACCATAATCAAAACCAAGATCCATTTATTAATTTTTTAAATGTCCAATTCTGGACCGGGCTCGGACCCGGTCGAACCGGCCCAATAAACAACTTGATATATACCATTTGTAACTAAATTTTATTAAATTTAAAATAAAAACAACAGCATTATTCAAATCTCCCTCTCCCTACATTTAGAGAACAAAACCCTAATCACCAGGAGAAAAAGAGACTTCTCTTCCTATCTCTATATATATAAAACCAGAAATTCAAAAAAATTAAAATTACACAACATCCAAACACGGCCTTAAGATTATTTCCGGCGGCGGCGCTCCTCCTCCTCCTCGCCGGCCATCCCCAGCGAGCTCTTGACGGCGTCCGCCGCGCCCTGCGCCATTTCCTTCACCTGCTCGCCGGTCCGCTGCATTAACCCGCCGGTTTTCTCCTTCCCGGCCTCCGCCGTCTCCTTGCCGGATTCCGCCATCTGCGCCGCCTTCTCCTTCGTCGCCTGAGCCATCCCCGCCGTCTTCTCCTTGGCGGCTTCCGCCGTCTCGGCCGCCTTGTCCTTGGCGGCGCCCATTCCGCTTCCGGTTTGCTCCTTCGCTTCCTGAGTCCGACCTTTCGTCGCGCCGGCGGTTTCCGACGCATTGTCCTTCACCGTCGCTGCCGCCTGCCCTGCCTTCTCCTACAGATAGAGATATTGTAAAAATTTAACGCTGTGCTGCCAAATTTTGATGGAGATTTGAATTTTTTTTTTAAGTTACCTGAGCTTGTCCTTTGGCTTCGCCGGCTTTGAAGCTCTGATCGTGCGACGCCATTGTTGAGATTGATCGGAGAATTTGATCCGAAAAGTGCTCTGAATATTTGCTGAAAGGATTTTGAGGATGAAGATGGGAAAGGGTACTGCGGGTTTTTATAATCGACGGTGGAGATTTGAGGATCTGCCACGTGTCCAGCTGCCCGACGCGTGTAGGGTACACGTGTCACGTGGTATGGGAGAAAACGTGATTTTGGCTTTTTCTTAAGTTTGGCCATGGAGGGGTAATTTCGTCATTTCACATTGATACGGTCTCTTCGTCTTCAATTTTTAGTTCGAATATTTGCACACAATTATTAGGATTATTAGGGTTTTATCGTTCGTAGAATACATATCAGTTCTGATTTTTATGGGGAATCTTCGCTCAATCGGCGTATAATCTTCGTGTAATCGGCGTATGGACGGTAGAGAGGATTCTCAGTTTTTTCGGAATCATTCGAACTCGAGATTCGGTAAGCGACAGTTTTGTTTTGGTCACTCTGATTTTGATTCCGTGAATCCGAGAATGCTTCATCATCACCATTCGAAACCTTCGATTCCTTATAAGTCGGAATTGTGTCTGCGGTTCCTAAGAGGGAAGTGTTTCCATGGTGAGAGTTGTCGTTTTGCACACAGCACGGCTGAAATTCGGAAGCCAGAGTTGAATCCTGTTGATGTGAAAATGAAAGAGTGCTACTGGTTTTCGAGTGGATTAGATTGCCCCTACGGTCAAACCTGCCAATTTCTTCATAAATGTGATCGTAGAATTACTGGGGGAAATCATAGGAATGAGAAGGATCAGGTTGAATGCTCAGGTAGCTTGAGCGGCGGTGGAAATGCTGATAAGACAGTTTCGGGGAAGACGAAGGTCTGCAGCAAGTGGGAGAGGTTTGGTAGCTGTGTTTATGGCGGGAAATGCATTTTTCTCCATGGGAAAGCAGGTTGTGTATATTGCCTTCATTTTTGCAGCTTTATTGATCATCTATCTGTTCGTGATTTCAATTCCTAATTGTTTGTTTTTCCTAATGATTACTAGGCAAATTGTTGTTATAGTTGAATGTGATGTTCCTTAGATTCAATGAATGATTAATGTCGAATGCTGCTTATTGCTTTTCCTTATTTTTGTACACATAGCATTAGTTTACAGGTAATGCTGATTAAATTCGTATTGCCGAGCAATTTCAGTTATGAACTAGGAAGATTATATGTAGCTGCACTTCTGAAATTATGTTAATTTCAATCTTTTTGGCTGATTAATCTCGTGACGATTTAGTGATCTAAAGTCATTGATGCGTTCTTGTTCTGGAGTAAGATTCTTGTTTGATGCATAAATGATTAGTGTCAAATTCTGCTTATTGCTATTCCTTATTTTTGTACACATAGAATTGGTCTACAGGTAATGCAGATTTAATTCGTGCTGCCGAGCATGTTCGGTCAAGAAATAGAGAGATTATGTTGCTGCAGCTCTGAAATTATTTTCATTTTAATCTTTTTGACTGGTTAAATTCCCTGACGATTTAGTGATCTTAACCATTGATGCGTACTTGTTCTAGAGTAACATTCTTGTTTATGCATAAAATTGCCCCTTATCTGGTGCTGTGCAAATTGCTCTGTTTCTATGACAAACTCTTAATTATTTGTTGGAATTGAACGGATTATACCTATTTACTAATAGCCTTTCTTTTTAGACTAGTTTGATATTGCTGGGAGTTCTTTAAATTTCATGTTGGTAATGATTTATAGAACTCTAAAACTTCAAGTTAATCAAGTGCGTGGAATTTAATCATCGCTTTTGATCTTTGAATTACACGATGATCATACATCCCGATTCGATTGGATTGGATTTAATGGCGATTATGTTTGATGCAGGACATAAGGATTTGGGATGCTCCTCTGCATCGAAGAAGCTGCTCCGTTTGAAACCGAAAAAGATTTTTTTGAATTGGGACACGGAGAAGATCTCCGAAGTCTACGCCGATTGGGTATGGAATCGACATGCAAATGATCCTCGGCGCTCCTCCGATTCGCCAAGGTGAGTGGCAACTTCAACTCATTTCTGTACATGTTATTACATCCTCAGCAACTACTATTCCATTCTCTCTTTTTTGTTCGAAAACTTAAAATTTTACTACTTGCCAAACCATGCAAAAAAAATTAGCTCAAAAAATGGATCAAAGTACTGAAAAGGGGATCTTTGATGGTTTAAAAGTTTTGTTCCTAAAATTATATTATTATTTTTTTTTATTTTCCGTTAAACTTATACTTATTTTATTTATAGTAAATAAATTTATTTGCTCGTAATTTTATTATCTCTACTGTAATAAGTAGTAACTATTTTATAATTATTTTTTTACTTATCCATTATTTTTTTTATCAAATTTTTAATACTAATACTTACAATTTATTTTTTACCTCTCATAAATATTTACTCTGTCCTTATAAGTTTACAAGGAAGAGTAAAAAATGTCACCTTTGTTTATTTGTCCTACACTTGGGAAAGAAGCGTGTTTGAGTGATTCGCTCAGCTTCTCTTTAAAGTCGCTTAAATTTACAATGAGGCTTTCTAATATCGGTCGTGTTTGACAATTAGCTGATAGTTATTTGTTAGCTGATTCAATTAGCTGATTCGATTAACTGTTTATATTAAAATGTTTGGTAAAACAACTAACTGTTTATACTTAAAATGACAATCGAAGACATTTCTATTTTATTTTTTGTTTATAATATATTCAATTATGTTCTTTTGAGTTTAGAATATTTAAAATTTTTTGTTATTAATTATTGAAAATTGTAAAAGTGTTATAAAAGTATTTATTTTTATTACAATTAGATTTATAAAATAATATATTTTTATTAAAATATATAAATAGTTTTTTCTATTGAAAATGATGTAAAATATAAAATAATAAATTTTTCGTGTATATATTTATTATGTTAGTTATCGATTAGTTCATTATATTTATAATTTTCAATAAATTTAATTTATTTTTAGTATGAAATTTATATAATGTAATTTTAATATAAAAATAAATTATTAATATTTATATTTTTTATTTTATATTGATTTTAATAAATTTATATATTTTACAATTAAAATAATTTTTATATAAAACTAATTATTTTAAATTTATAAAAGTAAAATTATAAAATAATAAAATATTTTAATATAATTAATAAATAATTAAAATATATTTATTTATGTAAAATGCATAATTAATTTTTAAGGATATATAAGGAATAAAAAAAATTTTACACAAAAAGTTATTTTTTAAAATGCCCGTTAATTTATAAACATTTAAATTAACTTTTTGATTAATTAAACAGTTAAAAATTATTCAATAAGCTAAACTTATTTGCCAAAATCTGCCCACCCCTTCTAATCTCATTATTTTAACTATCACTAATTGTAATTGAAATATAATATGTTTCGGAACAGTAGGGGCACCAGCAAAACGCCCTTTCGCAAAGCAGTAGGGGCACCGGAAACGTCTTTTTTAGGTTACTTCGGAAGGTCCTGGATTCAGAGTCCCGGTAAATCTCCGCCGTCTATTATATACGTCCAAAATCCTCCATCCGTAAGGTCCAGACAGTCGACCGAAAGAACCAATGCTTTCCACAAAATAAATAATTAAATAAATAAAAAGGTAACAGAACCATTTTTGTTGCCATTCCATTCGATTCCTTTCCAAAATAAATAATCATCTTAATTTAAGTTTCTATCTTTCTTAAGTTTAAAAATATATATATATATAAATGATAAAAAAAATAGATGTTATTATAAAATAGAAAAAATAAAGCTTTGCTGTAATATTATTTTACAAAATTATTATTGATAATAATAATAGTAATAATAATACTGAAATTTTAAAATATGGAGTATATAAATAAATTTTCACAGAATCAAAAACAGCACTGCCCATGTGGGTCAGATTTCATTTCAAACATTGCTTTTTTTATTCTTAATAAAGATGTAAATTTTTTATAAAATATTATATTAAATAATGCTTGATTTAATTATTTTATGAGTAGAAAAATATATTTTTTTCAGAAACGATGACATAGAGTTAAAAAATAAAAATTGGTAAAAAAATTCTAAAATTAAAATTTATATATATAAAAAAACAAAATATTATATAAAATTTTAAGTAACATCATTATGTTGATTCTAACATTTTTAATTGAATAGATTTTTTGTGCTATGAAAAATTATGTTGGTAATATAAAAATTAATATTTTGTGTTGAATGGTTGATTTTTTTTATAAGTGAATGATATATCGTATTATATTAATGTGTGTATATTTATATTTTTTAATAATATTTAAAAGAAATTGTTCGATTGAAAAATGTAGAATGAACAGAGTGAATATTATTACTCCCTTCGTCCTGTAGTAAGATTATAGTTTATTTTTTGCACATTTTCGTCTGTCCCAAAACAAGACTACTATTTTCTAATTTAATAATTATACTATCTATCTAACATAATAAATACTCTTCCAACTTACACACACTGTATTACACAAATGTCATTACTTTTATATTACACAATATTAATAGGGGTATTTTCATTTTTTTTTTCACTACAACCCGTTATAATACTAATATTAAAAGATCTACGTGAAAAAATAAATAGCAATCTTGTACTGGAATGGAGAAAGTATGAAATTAACGATATTTGTACAATATAATATAATATAAATTAGATTGATACAGTACAATTATTAAATTAAAAATTTATTTTAAAATGAAAGAAGAAAAAATGACAATTTTTCACAAAGGAGGATTATTATTATTATTTTAAATTGAAGAGTTGATTAATTTAAGTTAATAATTCCATGAGGGCACGCAATCCAATGCCAAATCCACTCTGTCCTATCATCATCACATTCACAACTCATTTCCAATTAATTTATGAACAAAAAAACAAGAAAAATCATTATTTTAAATTAAAAAAAAAAAAAACAAATCAGAAAAATCATTCCTTAAATTCAATTCTCAAACACAAAATCAATTTCTTGATTCCTATCAATAAAAATAAAAATTCTTACTATTATTTTTATTATTATTTATAATTAATTGATGTGGAGCAACCTTCCCTTAGATCTCCTCGCCGCTGTCTTCTCCCACCTTCCGGCGGACGCCTTAGCCGCCGCTAATTCCACCTGCCGGACGTGGCGCGCCGCCGCCGATTGCGCCGCCGCGCGCGGCGGCCATCCGCCGTGGTTCCTCGCCGTTCCGGCCACCCGCGGCGTCTCCGGCAACCGCGCCTTTGTCTACAACCCAATTCGGCTGACGTGGCACGTCTTGCCCCAGATTAACACAGCTCCGATTAAGGCCGTCGCCGCCATTAATTGCGGCCTCGTCCTCGGAAAATTTTCCGGCGGATCTTCGCTCAAACTCGTTGTTACCAATCCCTTCACCGGACAGTTCAAACCCCTGCCGGAACTCACCGTCGCCAGAATTAATCCGGCCGTCGGAGTCGTCGACTTCTCCGATAGCAGCTCCGCCGTGCCGCGCTTCAAGATTTACGTCGCCGGCGGCATGTCGGCGGATGCCCGCGGCGGCGGAGCCGCGTACCAGCCAACGGTAATATGGTGTTTTTTACTGCGTGTTTGTTGGGGATTCCGATTTTGATATTTAAAATTTTTAATTTGAGTAATTAATTGATATATCTAAATAAATAATATTCCGCTTGAAATTATTATTATTTTTTTTCATAAATATTCATATTATTATTTTTATATAAAAAATAAAAATAAAATATTATTACACTATTTTTAATTATTTATTATAATTAAAATAATATTATTTATTAAATATTGCGTTAAAAATAAATATGTATATTGTAAATAACTGAGAGAATATTTGATTTAGTTGTTTTAAAAACAAAATGAAAAGAAAATTGAAAAGAATCCAATCAAACACAATTTTGGATTTACTTCAATTCTATTTTACTATTTATTTTTAAAATTGTAAAAATATATAATTAATGATTTATTATACTCCATTTTTTTATTATTTGTGAGATTTTTCATGTGCTATTATTTTATATTTTTATTGGAGACTATAAAAATGATTTATACTAAACAACATATTGTAAATTTATACTATACATATAAAATAAAATTAACTATACATACAAATACTTTATACAATATAAAAAAATATATGTTGTCTTTAAATTGTTATAAGAAAATATTATTATTGTTATACGAAAATATTTATTATTTTTATCTTTCTTTTTCTTTTATTAATACTTTTTTTAAAAAATCATTTTTCTTATAATAAAATAGTAAGCGAACACACTCATAATCTTTTGTATGAAAGGATAAAGGATATGTATAGTTTTATTGAATACATACATTCGACTCAAAATTATTCTCACATTCTTTTTTCAAAAAAATCAAAAATTTTCGAACAGATCGAATCCTACGACTCATCGTCGCATACTTGGGCCACGGCCGCGACCATGCCAGCCGAACTAGCCGTGAGGCTAACGGTGTGGACGCCGCACGAGAGCGTATACTCTAACGGCACACTTTATTGGATGACTTCCGCGCGAGCATACAGCGTGATGGGCTTCGAAACCGCCACAAAAAAATGGCGGGAATTAAGTGTCCCAATGGCGGACCTCCTCGAATATGCGGCATTGGTGCCTACGGCGGGCGGGGGGTTGGGCGTGGTGGGGTGGACCTCGGGGACCGCGACCTTCTCTTGCCGGATATGGGAGCTCGGCGACGGTGAGGAATGGCGGGCTGTGGGGAAAGTCCCGTTTGAAATGGCGAATAAGGTTTTCAAGAATGTCGAGAGTTGGAGCGCCGTCAAGTGTGTGGCGACGAAAGGGATGGTCTGTTTGTATAGGGGTTTTGGGATCGGGATTTTGATGAAGTTTAAGGATTGCGGCGAGTTCGAATGGGAATGGATCGAAGAGTGTAATAGAAAGGAGTTCGAGAATGTCCCGATTAAAGGGTTGTTGCTATACCCGAATCTTGGCCGTTCGGCATTTTGTTTTCGGTGAGAATTGTTGTATGTCTTAAGAAAATACAAATCTATTTTTTTTGTTAGTTTATTGAAATTTATCAGCACATTGTTATGTGAGACTGTTTATAATATCAACGGGAATAAATTCAACATACTACCTGCAGGTTGTAGTCATTGTACGAAACTTTTTTATATTTTAAAAAATATTGCACAAAATTCCTTAAAAATTGCACGATTCTTTTGTATTTTCAAAAATATTACACTGAAGTCCTTAAAATATTTTTCAAAACTCAAGAAAATTTCACACAATTTTTAGTTGAAAGAATAGTACAAACTTTTCAAATCACATAGACACTTTTTAGTATACAAACAACTTTGATATACTTTCCGGTCCATTTACTATGTCCATCTTTTATTTTTATCCATTTCACTTTTTGAAAAAAAATTATACATTTTAATCGATAATTACTTTTATTAATACATTATTAATTATTTATTAATTATATCATTTCTAAATTCTCGTATCTACAGTAAAACGGACATAATAGCTACTGAGACTATGATGTCTTTATTATTACCATGTAAGGGATTAAAGTTGTATTTGTAAGAAGCACCTTAGAAACACTATGTCTTGATCATTTCCAAGTGAAGACATTTATTCCCAGCGTCAATGCATACAATCTCGAAATCCGACTTCCGCTTTCGCCAAGCAACCCACGCGCCTTTACACGGACCGTAGTCGCTGCTGCTAATCTCTAAGTTGTCCATAAACCCGAGGGAACGAAAAAAGTACCCGAACGGTCCATACCTAGTCCCGGGCTGGAACACAACGACAACATCGGGATCATAGGATCGAACAAACGAATCCAGCTCTATTGCAAAAGAGTCGACCTTCGCAACATTAGGAATGGTCCAAACGAAAATGCTCGTGCGCCGGTCCCTTTGTTTCTGGTCTTTGAGTATCTCCTGAACTTCGAGATGGTGATCGAACATGGAGCTGCCGTAACCGGGCCTGATGATGATGTAAGCGCTCGTGATCTCGTTTAGGGTCAGATGGCAAGTGCTTTCCTCGTCGGATTTTAAGATGACGCCGATCGAGCCGTTGTTGAGTTTAACTTCACTTGTAGCCATATGCACTTGGCCTACAAATTCAGGAGAGTTACAAACATAAAAATGGCTCAAACTAATATGATAGCTATGACTTAATTTCTCGTGTTTTCGCTATTTGGTGTTTTCGCTATTTGATCTATAGTGAGTAGCGGGCAAATAGTTTTCAATTTAAAATGTATCGAATTTGACTTCTAATTTTCATCTAAAACATTAGATCCAACACCATTTTTCGCCTTGAAAATTTTGAAATTTCGAAACATTGAAACAAAACTAAAATGCAAATAACCATCACATAAATACCCGAAAAATTAACTGTATCTAATACCTATTTTTACCTTGAAATTTTAAAAAATACGAAACATTGAGATATACCCAAAATACAAATAATTAGATTACAAACCTCACACATACTACCTGGAAAAATAATTGCATCCAACTATTCTATTTTCACATTAAAATTTTCCGAATATTGAAATAAATCTGAAATACAAATAATTAGATTACAAACTACACAATAACTAGAAAAGTAATTGCATCCAATACCTATTATATATTAACCTTAAAATTTCCAAAAATCCGAAATATTGAAATAAATCCAAGATACAAATAACTATATTACAAACTATACAAACCTCGCACACAATACCAGGAAAAGTAATTGCATCCAATACCTATTTTCACCTTAAAATTTTCAAAAATCGAAACATTGACATGAATCCAAAATACAAATAAACACAGTCATTCTGCTGAAATTAGATAACTGCATCCAATACCTATTTACACTTAAAAATTTCCATCGATTCAAAACTTCATAACAAAACCAAAATACAAAGAAACACAGCCAATTTGCTGAAATTAGATTACAAATTACACATACCTCACACACAGTACCTGGAAAACTGCAGACCTGATTTATTTTAGATAAGCAGAGATTATGGAGAGAAAACAATGAATTATTGACTTAAACAAAAGGAAAGATTAAAATACCTTACAGTTGTCGCCTGAAGACTTGATCTGCAATTTAAAATGGAGAAAAAGAGGGGTGAGTTGGCTGTTGTTTTGTGGGCTGGGGTTGCTTACTCAAACAGCTATCAAATAAACAATAATCAGCAATCGAAGATAATCGAACACCTATAAAATCATTTATGTCTGACTTGGTCTGTTTTCCTTGCAAATAATAATCTGGCATCATCGATGATCAGACATGATAGTTACAGTCATATAATATTCATCCTACAATGTGTGTATCACTGAGAAAGTAGCTACTGAATTGCTGTAAATCCATCGACTAAATGACGAATGGTTTTCATGTAGTGTGAAACATATTTAGCAGCTGAGTATGAGAGTTATTGAAATCTTTGTCAGAATCCTGGCTCTGAGCCTCGAGTCAACTTGTGAGTTCTTCCATCTGGCCCTGATCATCGTCGTGGATAAGAAAAACAACACATTAGTAGAAGTGATTGAATTTTCTAAAACATGATTGGTGTGGGTAGGCAAGCAAGAGTGTAACCTGAGTGATGTACTGCTCTGCATCGGTTCGTCGAAGGAACATGATAGCATGTCGAGCAAGGTTGGCTACCTGATCACTAAGTGCAACCTCGCCAATATCGTCAACTACTCTCACTTTGATAAATGGATCTTTTGGAGGGACCATATCCTGGGGGAAAAATAAAAAAAATACTGTACATGTCCAACATCATATGAATTGATCATGTCCAAAATTATATGAATCGAGAGTCGCACAAACAAATAGCAAATGGAACGAAGAAAAGAATAAAAGGGATCAAATGTAGAGAAATACAGAAGTTCGATGCAACTATGCACAACCCATCCTTACAAAAACACGAGAAAAATCGTCAGCATGCTTAACATTCTAGTAAAAGAAAGAGTCCATGCGATCTATCAGTAGCAATCCGGCAACTCTATTTTTACATATGTTTTCAAACTTGTCTTGGCACCGTTAATAAAAAAATTATATTTTACTCAACTTTGTACTATTCAAAAAACTTTTCAAAACTAGAGAACACTTTCAAAATATATCAAAACAAAACTAATTTACTCTCGTAATATATTTACATTATTGAAATTTCAGGTGCTAAGCCTAATGAAAAGTGATTAAAAACTCCCAATTGAAATATGATTAATTCTTATCATAATTTGTGAAGTAAAAGATTATTACCACAGTCAAATGAAGATCAAGATCTGCCATATATGATTGTACAGTTGCAACATGATCTTTGAAATATTCTTTCTCAGCACTACTGAGCTTCTCTTCGATTGATTCAGGAAGCACGCTCTCCACCATCCACCCCAAGCTTCTGATGACTTCAGCTCGTTTATATCTGTAAACCAGACAAGAGATAGAATAGTGAGAGTATGATCTATAAATTTGTCAAGGACTCAAGGGGGTAGATGAAGGACTAAAATTCCTTGGGAGAGGATTCAACCAGCTTCAATAAGTCATTGTTGCTCACATATAAGTCATGAGACAACGCTTATTGCGCACAAGTGAAAGGTGATGGATCAATGCCCCAAACTGATCGGATTTAAGAGCTGCTTTAAGGGTCATTTTCTCAGCTTCAGATTGCCTCCTTTCGTCTTCTGAAATCCCATTTTCATCTTCTGAACTGTTTTGATTTCTCAAATTGTTCTCATGCTCTTGAATCTTCCTGTTGCATTACCAATTTGAAAATTCAAGTGTATCGAGAATAATACTCTCAGGCAGGGAAAAGTAAAAAGGATAAGTAGCAGGGGATTCGGTGAAATATGACGATTTACCTCATCAAAGGTTGAAGGTGAAGAAGATGCCCATCGCATTCTTCAAGAACTTGACCGAATAAATCATTCTGTATATGCACGAAAACTCATACGAATCACGGATCATAATTGAAATAGAGAACTATATTGTGTAGCATTCTGAACCAAACAAGACAATAATTCATTTAGGAAGATGGTGATTTTCGACACAATAACTTAGAGGGCCCTATTTCTCATGTGCATAACTAACAGCCGAATTGCAGCATTTTTAGAACAATCAGAAAGCTCAACAAGGAATGAAACAATATTCCTTCACCCAAATTGAGTCGCGAAACCAAATTCAATCTCCAGCGTTTCCCCATGGTAAAAAAAAGATTCTCTAACAGCAGGTATCAAGAATATTTACTGCAAAGTAGTCGAATAACCTCTTACGAAACTAATTCTACATTATGCAAATCATATGTTCTAAAGTAGATCTCACAATTCTCAAATCCATCTTATGAAAATGTGATCACTTATGAGACATTCCTCAGTCCCAATCCTAATACTTGAAATTGAAAATGAAACTAAACAGAATCTCCATTAATTATGCCTCGTACAAGCCGATTAAATCTAGGAATTCTTTAAATAATTAGAGATCTGCTCGCGGAACAATTTTATAATAAGATGAACAGAGACGAGATGATTGAATGAATCTTCTATACTACCATTAAATCAGAAGACACATCCAAGTGCTTACATTGAAAGTGGTAAGCTGCCCAGGCTCGCAGGTCGCAAATTCCTTCACCAATTCGCTGGCTTTCCTCGCGTACATTTTTCCCCAAATTTCAACGAGCTTTTCTCCTTCCTGCTGCAAGATCTATCATAAGCATTTCATCAAACAACTCATCTACCAAAATATTTTAACAGCAGAACCGAGCAGCTTTACATCCGAAAATTACCTGTGGAATGATTAACCCCGTCAACAGATCGAACCCAAAACTGAAACCGATGAAATTTTCAAAAATAATATCGGACTCCTTCAATTGATCGAACAAAATATTTGGCGGGAATCTGAAGGGCAGTGAAAATCCGGAGCCGCCGAAATTCAGATAAAGAGAGGACAAAGACGGAGCTAGTAAGGCTTGCTCAATCGATTTCGAACCGGCGATTCCGGTTCAAACCGGACCATCGTAAACCGGTTTTGTCATTGTTCGGTTTCGATTTCTCTTTCCTCTTAGCCGTAAAACCGTAACCTAAACTTACTTATTTATAAAACTCTTGTAAATGAAGCGGTGAGACATCTTGTCATGCCGGATTTTATTAATAATACTATTAATATTTATATTTTATAATTTGTATATAATTTAAATTATTTTATTATCTATTACAATATTTTTATAATTTAATTATTTACTATATTTATTATTTTAATTATTTTTATATTGTAAAAATTTAATTAATTATTTATATATATGATTTTTATATAATAAATAAATAATAAATATATTTAAATGAAATTAATTATTTTTAAATAAAATTCAAATTTTTAGAAAAATAGAAAATATAAAAGAAAAATATTAAAAATGAATATATATACACTGGCGGTTCAAACCGTAATCGGCGGCGATTTATAAATCGTAATCGAAATCGTCAAATCGTAATCGAAATTGTCATTCGAAAAGTTCGATTTCGATTTGATATTTTGACAAAGCGTAATTGGCCGTTTGTAATCGTAATCGACAGTTTGAACTGTCTGAACAAATCTACCGTAACCTGGTGCAGGAGGAGGCTCTGTGGATGTGTAATGAATTAATTCAATAGCTCAAAAATATTCATTAATTTTTTACAAAATTAAACTAATATTGATATAAATTAAATAAAATATTTATTTAATAATTCATATTTTAAATTTTATAGACTTTTATAAATAATTATATTTATTTGAATTATATTATTATTTAATACACTAATATTTTTATAATTGATTTGCAATTTAAATTTATTATTTTAATTATGTTTTATGTTGTAGTAATTTAATTAATTATTAATTATTTATTTGATGCAAAAGAACCGCACATTTATTTACTAGGTAAGCGTTTGAAGTTTGAACAATTAGCCCAAAATCAATAAATTGAGATTTCAAACCTATAAAACTTATCTTAAACAATGCTTTACAAAATATCTTCAAAAACACACGTAAGCAATTTAAACAATTTTGCCCAAAAATCCACACGTCATCTAATTCCGCACGTAAAATATAACTAAAAGCGTGAATCATTAAACTTACGTATGACTCAGCGTCTTTGTAATAGTCGTGTTTTAGTAACTAAAACGCGATTTTAAATTTATAAGACATGCAAATAAAATAAAGTCGATTTTAATGCATGAACTAAGTCACTAAAATTAGCGCTAAGTGTGACACATACAAAGTAAAACATATAAATAAAATGCATTTTTAACTGCTTGCCAAATATTAGTCAACCTTCCTAATTGCACAGCTCTTTTATCATTTTATTTATTTATTTAAATAGTGTGACCTAACCAATACATTAGTAATTTGTTTATTCAATTTTTATATTTTTAATCAATGATTATTGTCATATGGATTTAATTAAATATGCTTTGACTTGTCATCTGGCGCGTGGGTGAGCAGCGAGATCCTACGGCTTGTCGATAAGTTTTCCGGAGCATCCGTAGATCTTGGCCGTTGATTTATTCAATTGGGATTTCTGACAGATGTTGAAATATTTTGTGTATGTGGTCGGACATTAATTACACGAGGCGACGATCTATCGCATTTGCTATAATATTCTCCCTCGGTGTAATATTTGTTTTTCGCATAGGTTTTAGGTGGGATTATTAAGTATTACTCTCTCCGTTCCAAATACTCTGAAATACTTTTTTTTATATCTCATCAAACACTTTATAATATTTTCAAAATATGAAATAATTAATTATACTTAATCTCTACCTCATACTTTATCCTCTCACATCATTCAAATAAATAAATAAATAAAATATATATTTCTCTCTCTATCGTATCACTTAATTTCTAAATTATCCTACTTAATACTATCCATCTAAAAACTCGCGCCAAAAATAAATATTGTACCTTATTTGGGACGAAGGGAGTATAATTTATAAATTAAGTGATGTGATAGAGAGATAAATATATATTTTATTTTTTTATTTGGATGATGTGAGATAATAAAGTGTATGGTAGAGATTAAGTATAATTAATTATTTCATATTTTGAAAATGTTGCAACTTATTTGGGACATACCAAAAAGAAATGTTGCAGGGTGTTTGGGACAAAGAAAATACTAAATAAAATTAAAAAAATAAAATTTTATATTTATATATATATATATATGTACATATCAAATTATCATTTTCATCAGTTATTTATTATTTTTTATAAAATATATTCTACATATTTGTAAAACTAGTTATTTATGTTTTATCGTACGTCATGCTCACAAAACGCGGTCATATGTAAAGGTAACGTGTAAAATATATTTTTTTTCAGATAAATAAAAGATAAAAATAATAATTGATTATACGTTAATATATCTTTTGCAATTTTTTAGTATAACATATATTGGAAATGATCGGATGTATAATTTACTTATACTTTTTTTTACTAATATCTTTTTCATCTCAATTCAAAATAAATATTTTTTCTAATTTAATAAATAAATTTTATCTAAAATATAATTATAAATAAATAGGTTTTGGGTTAGCTTTAACTTTTAAGTTGACTATAAATATTTTAGAGTTTTAAAGCTAAGTTGCATGCTGATAAGATATCCTAATAATTTTAGAATATAAATTATGGCGACGTGTAAATGCAAAATGGCTGAGGAAACGACGGGTTGTATTTAAAACATTATCTAAAAATAAAATAAAATAATATATAATAAATAAAAATATATAATAAACAATAAATAAAATACTTCCTCCGTTCCAGATATCATGTTCATATTGCTGTTTCTGTCCGTCCCACATACCATGTCACTTTCTTTTTTTAAAAAAATATTACACGCTTTAATCTCATTTTATTTTTTTTTTAATTTTTTTTAATTTTAATTAAACTAATTAGTTATTTTAATCTTAATTTATAATTATTTATATTATAGAATAATTATTTTCACTAATATATTCTTAATTATCTACTAATTATACCCCTTCTAAAATACCATGTCTACACTGTAGCAGACACGGTATCTGGACGGACGCAGTAATAAATAAAGCGGTTGAAATTTGGAATGTAGAGAGGATTTCAAAGGAGTAGTGATGTGGGCATCTGAGAAATGACCAAACCAATTATTGTGTCATCTAAATTCATTCTTATGTTGAAATTTTGTGATGAAAGTCGCCATATTTGAAACACGATTTATCGATTTATTTATTATTATTATTATTTAAAATGTTTTAGTTATTATTATTTATTAAATTTGGCTTTTGAGACACCACTGGGGCTGCAAATGACGTTTTAAATATATATTTAATTCGTTTATATATTTGGTATGTCGATATCAAGCTTTATGTTTGCCATGACTTGTTCAAAGCATGCAAGTTTTTCTTTTTTTTTTTTTTTTTTTTTTTTTTATATATATATATAAATAGTGCTATCGTTGTCTCAATATTTAATATTTTTTCATTTCCATTTGCTAAATTTATATACAATTTATAATAAATTTAATTTTATCGACTCATAATTTATTATTTATATGTTAACAGATAATAATAAATTTGTCATTATTTTTTATCTCTATTTTTTACACTATTCATTAATAAATTGTGTTTATATATTCCATCAAATATGTGTTTTATCTCATAAAATATCACAATAAATAATATACTCTCGTCTGTCCCAATATAATAATTTTGTTTACAATTTTTGTCCGTTTCAAAACAATAGTCTCATTTACATAAATAATCATATCACTATGAATTTACTTTTACTTTTTCATTATTATTACACAATTGTCACTACATTTTACACTAATACACTCACAAGGGTAAAAAAATCTTTTATCCGTACTTTTTACCAACTACTAATATAATATTAATATTTCTTAAACAGTGTCAAACACAACCCATACTATAGTTTTGGAAAAAATGGAGTATTTTTTTAGTACTTTAATTTATTTTTTTCTTTTATCTAATTAGAACTTATATATTTTTACACTACTTGAAAAAATGCTCAAATTTTTTTACATGGATTAAATGTGAAAATTTATTAGTTTTATTATTTTTTACCTTTTCTTTTTTGAGAAAAAATAATAAAATTAGTATGATTTTTAATTTTATTTTATTTTTAAAAAGAAAGAATATTGTTAGATGATAAAAAAATAAAATTAATACATTTTTATGTGAAGTGGAGTATCAAAAATGAAAAAAATTATTGTAAAAAGAATAAATCGAATTATAGGGTTTATTTATTTTTAATATTTTTAAATAAATATTTTTTTCTAAAAGTAGTATTTCAAAAGTACATATTGAATATAATCATTTTGAAAAAAAAAAATATCTTTGAAAAAAATACTTATAATTTAAATCATTTGCATTTGTTCTTCATTTTTAAGTATATATTTATTCATGATACACACTCCATTTAGCATAATTATATGAAATATTTTATATAAATTCTATTGTATAATTTAATTAGATTAACGCCAAATAAAATATTTTTTATAATATCAATATTTGTTTATAAACATTGTGGTAGAATAATAATATGTACTAATATTTGGTATATATGTGTGTATATTTGTAGGGGAGCAATTATGTTTATAATGTATGCATTTACATTAAAATTTTGGAGTTTGTTTATGTCTATTTTTTGTAGTATTCAATTTCAAAATTGGTCAAAGCATGTTATTTATAAAGTTGGGCATCTCTATTTTATTTTTATTTAATTGATATTTATATATATATTAATAAATTGATATTGGGCAGTTTAGGTCACGTACTAATTAAATAAATGCCACCGCCATTAATAGGGAATTAGTTGATAAACATTAATATTTTGAGTTTGTTTGTACAATAAATATATATATATATTTTTCTATAAAATATATATTTTTTTATCTATACGATCTTTAATATATATATATATATTTATGTATTTAATTTTACACACAATTATACTTTTAAAATTTTAACAGTGTTTTATATGTAACTTAAATATTAAAAACAAAAAAAGTTAAAATTGCATAAAATTCATATATAATGTTATGTAATTGTTTCAAATTTTTCGTATTTTTAAAATTGTATTAAAATATTTTATAATTTCATAAATTATGAGTCCGACTCTTTAATAAATTTTATTTAACAATATTTGATCTACACATCTTAAAAAATATGAAAAATATACTTATCTGGTTGTATTTCTTTTTACTCATTCTCAAGACGGTTTGTTTCTTTTGTAAAAAACTCAAATTTCTATAACTCTGCATTTTTCGAAAAATGTACAATTTTTTTTCCGAAAAATATATGAGAATCAAATATATTTATAAAAATAGATTATTACTCCATCCGTCCCATATATTTTGGACATATTAACGTAGATACGAGAATTTAGGTAAAATATAATTAGTAGATAATTAAGAAGTGTATTAGTAAAAATAATTATTATTTAAAAAAAATAATTATAGATTAAAATTAAGAAAAATAAATAATTTAATAAAAATTTAAAAAATTATAAAATTTAAAATTTAAAATATGGCTAAAATGAATCGTCAAATTTGAAAGAAAAAAAAAAAACGAAAGTAGAGATTATACGTAGGCACAAATTAGGTGAACACAGAAAGCATTTACACAAAGCTATATTACTATCCGCATTGACTAAACTACCCCTCTGTAGGGCCCGCTTAACTAGCCAATAATGTCGCATTAACTATGTAGCTCTAAAGTCCGATTTTTTCTATTTAATATTTTAAATAGTTGATAAATACACGATCAGGTACGCTACGTATACACACATCATACAATACAATTATACATACAAATACGTACAAATCAGCGGGTATATAAATAGAGAGAGAGAGAGGTGAAGAATGAGGCTTAGCCTGAAAATCATAATCATTCCTCCAGTAAGGTCTTCCGCCTTCTTCCTAGAAGTATCCAGAAATTCCTGGAAATACGGCGGCCGAATTGCGCCATCGGAGCGGAGGTTTTGGAAAAATATGGCTGGGTTGCAGCGATCGGCGGTGTCGTTCAGGAGGCAAGGATCGTCTGGATCGGTATGGGACGACAAGTTCCTTTCAGGTGAGTTGAAGAAGCTCGCCGACGAAAAGAAGGAGGAGAAGAAGAGGAATAGCAAGGCGGAGAAGGAAAACAAAGACGAGAAACCTTCGCGACCTGCGGAAGTGAAGATCGAGAGGAGCAGATCCAGCGGCGGACGCGGTTACCGTGCCGGAAAAGTGGCGCCGGCGGTTGAACCGCCGTCTCCGAAGGTTTCGGCGTGCTGTTTCGGCGGCGGTTTCCGGAAAAGTAATACGACGCGCCGGCGGCCGCCTAAGTCGGCGAAGCGCGTGGTGTGAGCGGTTTTTGTTGAATCATGATCTGTGCTTCCTCGTTCCTTCTCCAGCGTTTGGAAACAGGATTCGGTGCGTGCTGGTGCAATACACCGCTTTGTGCGCCATTGCTGGACCTGAGGTTGGAGAATTTAATTTCCTCTGATCTTAGTTATGATTATGTCTCCTAGTTCCTTTTTCTGCTTGATTTTTGGCGTTTAGATCATACTTTTGCTTTTTGATTTTAGCTCTTGTGTTTGAATATTTGTAGCACTGCACATGATTTGAGTACGGTTTCTGCCTTTGAACATTGCTGCTTGTAAGTGTTTAATTTCAGTTTAGTCAGTCACTTTGTGTATAAATTAAATTCCATACATTTCATCTGCGTATGTTTCTGCTATCACAATTATGCATGGATTGCATTTCGACAAATTTGTTCCTGTTGAAATATTTTCTATATTTTGTTACGATTATTTGAGTTTATTTGGTTTGCATAATATATTGAACATTTGTGTATTTAGATATAGTTGACCTAAAACCAGTTCGTTCATATGCATCAAATTTTGAGTTGCTCAATAATGCAAGAAGCATGATAGATATGCTTATTATAGTCAAATATGAAGGTCTACATTTTTTGTTTTTAAAATCTAAGCGGATGCTTATTATATAATAATTTTTATTTAATGAATTTTAAATTGACAATTATTCAGAACATTCATACTTGCTGCAATTTGGTGTATTTGTCTATATACGACTTTATTTTATATGATATTTGTAGCTTTGTTTAGAAAGGACGATCGAAGAGTTTTAAAATTTTGAAAATACTAAAAAATTAATAATTTATGCGAAATTTTATGAGACAAAAAATAATAATATTTACTTTTAAGTGTGTAATTTTAAAAATAATAATATTTTAATAGTCCATATAAAAATGAATTTTACATAAAAAAAGAAAAACAACATGAAATAATATTTCATTTTAAATTTCTACTACTATTTAAAATCTAAACACAAACCTCATTCAAACACACCACATATTTAATTATATTTGTTATTATTTAAAAAAAATCAAATTGGGCCAAGCAGCCCATTTACATCCCCAAGCCCAATTCAGAAGTGAATATTATTGGGCCGACCCATATCGAGGCCTTTATCTCCTTAACTAAATCACAACTGTAAAAGAAAAGAAAGTCGAGCAGTACTTCCATTTCCATGGCTGAAATATGGAGCTTAGCATTTAACAAAGCCCAAAGCCATCGCTGCTGAGTGAAGGAAGGAGGGAGAAAGACTTTATGCAGAAGATGCTGCAGATGAGATCTTCTTCCTCTTCTTCAATGTCGTTTCCATGTTGCTTCGAGTCTTCTTTGTTTCGATTTATATGCCAATTGTACAGCTGCGTTTTATTGCTCGTAAATGCTTCCGCCATTGCCCATCGTTTTGATCCTTTGATTCAGCTTCCGACCGACCGGGTTGACCGGAGCAGTTCGACGGCAGCTTCCGTTTTCAACATCGATGATTTCGGCGCGAAAGGAGATGGCCTCAGCGACGACACCAAGGTAGCTACATATATATATATATGAAATGCTGTTTACATGAGTTTAATAGCGTTCCAATTTGGTAGGGAATTGATTCTACTTAGGGTAAGTATATAATGTTTGTGCCCTAATTTAAGCATTTTTGGGGGAAATCTCATTCATATATTGTGTCTGGTTCTCTACTTCTTTGGTAAATTGCAGTGTGCTGTGTTGTCGATTGTGGCTTGGGAACATGATTGAGTTGGAATTTGGAAGTTTGTGTGTATCAATAATGGTGTTTTCTTTTTATTGATATTCCATCATGCTGTTTTTCTTGCCATTATCTTAAAAACATCATGGATTATGTTTTTGGATTGGAAGAAACTTTTTAATTGTAAGTTGCACAATGCAAGAACACAATTGAACAAATCCCCTTGTTTCTTGCACATATATGTGATTTTTGAATAGTCATTGACTCATTGTTGAAATCTTTAAATGTATCTGCCGAAGTTGGTTTCTGATAGTTTCGAGGAATGGAATTCACTGAACACATTCCCTGCAAAGTGTCGTAAATTTCTCCATTTTTACCGGAGCTAATTCGCCATGCTTGGGAGCATTCAATTCTGTTACCTTTCTTTCTGAGTAGGCCCTTTTCGTTAACCTCGTTGCTATGCAGCTTTTCCTCTTCTCTCGGAATTTAGTATAATTTAGTGCCACCTATCACTATGTGTGTATTGATAGTTGCGATACGGTATAAAATCTAGGCCTTACTTCTACCATTTATTCGATGTTGCTTTTGTAGAGAAGAGAGTTCCCTTAGATTTGTTTCTCACATTCTAATGAAGTTCCTTCAATCATATGTGGTCCTTTATGGTCGAAATTTTCCAGGGAAATCTTGTGCTTGATCATTTCCTTTAGTTTCTTTTTCCGGTCAATATTTTTGGTTTCTTGGTGTTTGTGGTTTGTATATCTCGTTAAGTGTTAGGTTTCCGATGCAAATGTATTTTCATAACAATTCGTAAGAGCATGTATGTGGTTGTTTTGATGGCATCAGAGCTTCCAAGCGGTTTGGAAGACAGCCTGTTCTTCCTCAAGGAGTGTCAAAATCGTAATTCCTGCCAGGAAATCCTATCTTATTAAACCAACCGACTTCGCCGGTCCCTGTAAATCAAAAGTAACCTTGAGGGTAAGCTCAAAATGTTCCCTTACCATAATTGACGGCTTAACTTATGATCGATATGCAAGTTTATTGCTTTCATTGCAATGTTTGTAGGTTTCGGGACTTATCCGTGCGCCACAAGATCCAGCCGTCTGGGAAGGTCGAAACATTCATAAATGGCTCTATTTTCATGGAGTGAACAACCTCAAAGTCGACGGAGGGGGAACGATCAACGGGATGGGGAAGGATTGGTGGGATCGCTCGTGCAAGATCAACAACACCAATGTACTTCTTGTGTCATTGTGATAATTTTTTCGTTAGAGACATGTACGAGTTCTAATAGATTCCGCAACATTCTTTTTTGCAGCCTTGCACGTCTTCCCCGACGGTAAATGTTGTTTGTATCCGTAATTTTTGTTACGTATCGACATAGACGCTCTGCATTCAGTAGTTTGCTTTCTTGCAGGCTGTGACGTTCCATCGATGCCGGAATTTGAAAGTCCGGAACATTACTATAACTGACGCGCAACGAATGCACATTGCGTTTACGACCTGCACGCGTGTCGTGGTTTCAAAGGTCGGCATTGTAGCTCCCGGCGATAGTCCGAACACTGACGGGATCCACATAAGCGCATCGAAGAACGTCAAAGTCGAGAATGTCTTCATCGCCACAGGTTCGAATGAATTATATGCCCAATCTTTCGTATTTTACGACTAATGCTCCTCTTAACATCGAGCAGGCGACGACTGCATATCCATTGTTAGCAATTCTTCGAAAATTCGAATCAAGAACGCCGCCTGCGGACCGGGGCATGGTATTAGGTAACGAATGTCGTTCCCTCTCCTCGTATCGAAACTAATTTTGCACAAAATACGTTGAAAATGATTATGGCTGTTTTTGCAGCATCGGAAGCTTAGGAAAGAACAGTTCGTGCGATTCTGTGGAGGATGTTGTCGTAAACGGATCTTTTTTCTTCAACACGGAGAATGGCGCCAGGATCAAAACATGGCAGGTAAATTTTCCGACGCATTCTTTTCGAACTCGATGAATCTTTTGCATCCCGCAGATGCCAATCTCTGCAAATCGATAGGGCGGCAGTGGATCGGTGAAGAAGATTACGTTCGAGAATTTATGGATGAAGAACGTCGCAAATCCCATTATCATCGATCAATATTACTGCGATCGTCGCGGGACTTGTCCTAACCAGGTACATATTCCCAACCTAGAGCTGTTATGTGAGCCGAGCAACTCGAAAGCTCGATCGTAGTAATTAATCGAATTCGAGTTTCTAAAAATTCATACTTGAAAAGTTATCGATCCAATTCTTTAATGTATTTGAGTCAATATGAATTCGAGTTTCTAAACTAGGAGAGCCTGCTGATTTGTCCCAATCAATACCTCAATACCTAAGAAATAGTCGGACAACATATAATTTTAATTAACACAATATATGTTGTATTAACCAAAATTATGTGCTATGTATGCTATAAAGACATATTTTGTATGCTAAGATCAATGGTAGTATTTGTATTATTTTTTCTCGAGTAATTGAACCCTTGTATCTCGTAACTGGACATTTTTATTATTTTAGTCTCGTAACTGTCCTCTTTATTCTTTTAATCCCGTAATTGAAGTCTGACGAGCCACACGGGTGCCACGTAGACATCTCCGCCTCCAGAGGACTAAAAGTGCGAAAATTTTTCACTTACAAAACTAATTTTCGACATGCTCCAGTTACGGGACTAAAATGATAAAAAAGTTTCGTTACTGGACTAATAATTCAATTTACCCATTATTTTAATATGAATTGTGTATTGTTTATTATTGTATAGTGTGCTATCAGCGCTATCAGTACTGTGCTAAATTTTATAATTTAACACAGTAACTGCAGTTTTTAAACCTAACGACCTCGAGATCACTTTCGATAAGTTTTCTAGACCAGTTCAAAAACGAGATACTTGACGCCCTCTTGCAATGCAGACCTCGGCTGTAAGAATCGATGACGTATCGTTCAAGGGCATCAGAGGGACTTCGGGAACTGAGAAAGCGATAACGCTAGCGTGCAGCGACAGCTGTCCGTGTCGACGGCTGCATCTCGAGGATATCGATCTTGCGGCCGAGTCTGATGAAGCCATAAAGTCCTTCTGCTGGGAAGCATTCGGGACGAGCTCCGGCTTTGTCTATCCGACGTCGTGCCTTTCGTCCGGAGACGTCATCATGCAACCCGTGAGACAGTCGACAGTCTCCGGCTTCAGCTCTGGTTTCGACTCTGACTCTGCTCTCTTATGAGAGGCAATCCATTTATTCCTGGTATTCTTTTGCAACATTAAGGTTTTTTTTTTTCAATTTTTTCATATGTGATTTATAGAAATATATTAAATTTTAATTTAAAATACTCTGGACATTTACGGAATATTAAAATGTATAGATTACATACAGAAAATGTATATTTTCTTTGGACAAATTAAAAAATTTTTTTTTTTACTAAAATATTAAAGTGTTAAGTTCCCAACAAATGTAAAGTAACAAAGTTAATATTTTTTAGAAAAATAATATTCCCTCCCTTTAAACAATAATTATACATTTATTTTTGGCGCAAAGTTTAAAAAATAATAATATTTTAATTATAGTTGGTAGGTAAAAGTAGTGTAATGACATTTTTGTCCTTATTTTTTTGTATGAAAGTAACGATGTGATTTAAAATAAGAGTATTTGTGAAAAAAAAGGAGTATTTAATTATGTGGTTATTTTGTAATTGAATGCCCCAAAATTAAAATATGTATACTTTGTAGCTGGGAAGAGAGGGAGTATAAAGATTATTGAAAAAAATTTGTATATATTAGTATTATTTATACCAATTAATTTTTAATTTTTGATGCGCTTGAAATTAAATATTTGATCAATTACATATAAATCCACTAAAATTATGAAAGTTTAACTATAATTGAGAAATATATTCAAATCGTCTTACCACATTATTTATTTCATCAAATTATTAGTGTTTTTTTTTTCGTATTTTTTTATTTAGTTATTTAATAAGGAATTCCTTCAACCCTCGTTAATATTACTAATGTGTCTCTCTGAATTTTCAAAAAAAAATTCATTATATTTATTTACTTATTAGTGAATGTCTCATGCTGGTAAAAATTTAATCTATATATTTTTTTAATTGTATGACCAACTTGATATGTCTCTCTTATTATAAATCTAATATAAATATATAATTATCATTATTAAAATTTCTAACACGACAATCACACGGATAGCGCTGTTAAATGAATCGAGTGCTTCGGGAACTCGGCATAGTTCGGCTCGATTTAGCTCGGTTAAAGCTCGTTCGCGAACGTTAACGAGTTGAGTTTGTTAGAAATTTTGGGGAAAAATAATGAAATTGTCTTGTTGATCATCAAAATAAGGAGCCTATATATAGGCAATACAAAACAGATTCGATAGACTCAAATCTAAGTAATCTAATCAATGAATAAGATCAAATCTAGATATAAATCTACTAAATCTAAAACTGAATATCTAAAATATCTCAACATCCCCCCTTAAACTCAAGTGGTATAATAGAAACCAACTTGAGTTTGATGAGAAATTTTAATATAAACGCAAAAAGAAAACATAAATAAAATTAGCAGTTGACTTTCCACCCATCGGAGCAAAAAACGAGAGGATTCTCCACCGGAGTCGAAAACGAGATACTGTCCACCGGAGCAAAAAACGAGATGACTCTCCACATAAGCAAAAAATGAGATGACTCAACTAGAGCTGAAAACGAGATGACTCCACCGTTACCGAAAATAAGATGACTCCACCAGAGCCAAAAAGCGAGATGACTCCATCGGAGCCGAAAACGACATGACTCCACTGAAGCAAAAAACGAGATGACTCTACCGGAGCCGAAAACAAGATGACTCCACCGGAGCCTAAAACGACATGACTCCACCGGAGCCAAAAACGACATGACTCAACCGGAGTCGAAAACGACATGACTCCACCGGAGCCGAAAACGAGATGACTCAACGGGAGCCGAAAACGAGATGACTCCACTGGAGCCGAAAACGATATGACTCCACCAGAGCAAAAAACGACAGGACTTCACCGGAGCTGAAAACAAGCCGTAAACAAGATGACTCCACCGGGGCCGAAAAACGACATGACTCCACCGGAGCCGAAAACGACATAGATCGGAAACACCAAATAGATTGCACATATGCAATAGACAAGCACAGACAGAAAGAAGATCACAGAAAGGTTTCAGATCGCACGCAAACAACAAACAGATAGCAGATCGCAGACAGGTTTCAGATCGGACGCAGACATCAGACAAGCAGCGGACATATGGCAGATGGATATATGGCAGATCACAGACAAGTTTCTGATTGTACGACAGACAAGCAGGCGACAGGTTTCTGATTGTACGACAGACAAGCAGCGAATGACAAGCAGTGGATGACAGAAAGATCTCAAAATCACAAAACCTCCGGGTAAAATGTAGGTTGAATGTACCCGGAGAAACACAGGTTCGTAGGCTATATCTACGGCATGAGAAAAGTAGGCTCTGATACCATGTTAGAAATTTTGGGGGAAAATAATGAAATTGTCTTATTGATAATCAAAATAAGGAGCCTATATATAGGCAATACAAAACAAACTCGATAGACTCAAATCTAAGTAATCTAATCTATGAATAAGATCAAATCTAGATATAAATCTACTAAATCTAAAACTGAATATCTAAAATATCTCAACAGAGCCGAACAACAAAAACAGACTCGTTTAGTTAATGAACGAGTCCGAGCTTTGTTCGCAAACGTTCGTTTAAATAATATATTTATTATAAATATTATATATACATATAAAATTATAATTTATAAATAAATAAAATATTAATTTAAAATATATAAATAAAATAATTTAAAATTTCTTTATAATTTATATATAAATTTAAAAAAGTAAGACAAACGAGTTCGAACGAGCTTAAACGAGCCGAACAAGAACACGAGCTCAAACAACAAAATTTCTTAACGAGCCGAGCTCGAACACTACGAACGAGCTCGAAAGCTTAACGAACGAACACGAGCCTTGTTTGCGAATGTTAACGAACACTTAAAATTTGGATCGGCTCGGCTCGGATTGTTAACAGCTCTACACACGAAAAAATAATTTGTGTATTGAAAATAACACATCCGAAATAGAACATTTTATTACAACATAGCACAATATTTAATTCACACCGTAAAAGTTAATAGCAAAATTGGATTTCCTGCGATGCACGTCGCGGCCAAAAATCACGAACGACGACCTTGTTAGCCGGTCATGGACCCGTCGTCCAGCTGTATATTGCGAACGGGGATTCGCGCACGGGCGCTGACGAACCAGCGTCAACGCGAGAAGTCCAGTAAGAATTATCGTTTTGAGAAAAAAAAACTCGTAACAAGGATTCTGTAGTTAAACCTGCGAAAGGATCATTGTCGATGTCTGCCCCGGTTGACAACAGCGAATTCGTGACCCGATTTACGAATGCCGGTCAGGCAGTCCATAGAGATAGAGTGGGCGCCCTAAAAAACTCATGCGCGGATTTTCGTGAATATGTAGGCAGCAAAATTGGATTTCCTGCGATGCACGTCGCGGCCAAAAATAGCGAACGACGACCTTGTCCGCCGTTCACGGACCCGTCGTCCAACCGTATATTACGAACGGGGATTCGCGCACCGGTGCTGACGAACCCGCGTCAACGCGAGAAGTCCAGTTAGAATTATTGTTTAGAGAAAACAAAACTCGTAACAAGGATTCTATAGTTGAACCTCCGAAAGGATCATTGTCGATGTCTGCCCCGGTTGACAACAGCGAATTCGTGACCCAATGTACGAATGCCGGTCAGGCCGTCCGTCGAGACAGACTGGGCGCTCAAAAAAACTCCTGCGCGGATTTTTGCAAATATGGAGGCAGCAAAAATGATTTCCTACGATACACGTCGCGATCAAAAATTGCGAACGACGACCTTGTCCGCCGTTCACGGACCCGTTGTCAGCCGTATATTACGAACGGGGATTCGCGCACGGGCGCTGACGAACCAGCGTCAACGCGAGAAGTCCAGTAAGAATTATAGTTTAGAGAAAACAGAACTCGTGATAAGGATTCTATAGTTGAACCTGCGAAAGGAGCATTGTCGATGTCTGCCCCGGTTGACAACAGCGAATTCGTGAGGCGACGTTCGAATGCCGGTCAGGCAGTCCATTGAGACAGAGTGGGCGCCCCAAAAAACTCCTGCGTGGATTTTCGTGAATATGTAGGCAGCAAAAATGGATTTCCTGCGATGCACGTCGCGGCCAAAAATCGCGAACGACGACCTTGTCCGCTGTTCACGGACCCGTCGTCCATCCGTATATTGCGAACGGGGATTCGCGTACGGGTGCTGACGAACCCGCGTCAACAAGAGAAGTCCAGTAAGAATTATCGTTTAGAGAAAACAGAACTCGTAACGACGATTCTATAGTTGAACCTGCGAAAGGATCATTGTCGATGTCTGCCTCGGTTGACAACAGTGAATTCGTGACCCGACGTGCGAATGCCGGTCAGCCGTCCATCGAGACAGAGTGGGCTCCCCAAAAAACTCCTGCGCGGATTTTCGCGAATATGTAGGCAGCAAAATTGGATTTCCTGCGATGCACGTCGCGGCCAAAAATCGCGAACGATGACCTTGTCCGCCAGTCTTGGACCCGTCGTCCAGCCGTATATTGCGAACGGGGATTCGCTCACGGGCGCTGACGAACCAGCGTCAATGCGATAAGTCCGGTAAGAATTATCGTTTAGAGCAAACAGAACTCGTGACAATAATTCTATAGTTGAACCTGCAAGAGGATCATTGTCGATGTCTGCCCCGGCTGATAACAGCGAATTCGTGACCCGACGTACGAATGCCGGTCAGACCGTCCATCGAGACAGAGTGGGCGCCCCAAAAAACTCCTACGCGGATTTTTGCGAATATGTAGGCAGCGAAATTGGATTTCCTGCGATGCACGTCGCGGCCAAAAATTGCGAACGACGACCTTGTCCGCCGGTCACGGATCCGTCGTCCAGCCGTATATTGCAAATGGGGAATCGCGCACGGACGCTGACGAACCCGTGTCAACGCGAGAAGTCCAGTAAGAATTATCGTTTAGAGCAAACAGAACTCGTGACATGGATTCTATAGTTGAACCTGCGAAAGGATCATTGTCGATGTCTGCCCGGCTGATAACAGCGAATTCGTGACCCGACGTACGAATGCCTGTCAGGCCGTCCATTGAGACAAAGTGGGCGCCCCAAAAAACTCCTGCGCGGATTTTTGTGAATATGTAGGCAGCAAAAGTGGATTTCCTGCGATGCACGTCGCGGCCAAAAATCGCGAATGACGACCTTGTCCCCCGATCTCGGACCCGTCGTCTAACCGTATATTGCGAACGGGGATTCGCGCACGAGCGCTGACGAACCAGCGTCAATGCGATAAGACCGGAAAGAATTATCGTTTAGAGCAAACAGAACTCGTGACAAGGATTCTATAGTTGAACCTGCGAAAGTATCATTGTCGATGTCTGCCCGGCTGATAACAGCGAATTCGTGACCCGACGTACGAATGCCTGTCAGGCCGTCCATCGAGACAGAGTGGGCTCCGCAAAAAACTCCTGCGCGGATTTTCGCGAATATGTAGGCAGCAAAATTGGATTTCCTGCGATGCACGTCGCGGCCAAAAATTGCGAACGACGACCTTGTCCGCCGGTCTTGGACCCGTCGTCCAGCCGTATATTGCGAACGGGGATTCGCTCACGGGCGCTGATGAACCAGCGTCAATGCGATAAGTCCGGTAAGAATTATCGTTTAGAGCAAACAGAACTCGTGACAATAATTCTATAGTTGAACCTGCGAGAGGATCATTGTCGATGTCTGCCCCGGCTGATAACAGCGAATTCGTGACCCGACGTACGAATGCCGGTCAGGCCGTCCATCGAGACAGAGTGGGCGCCCCAAAAAACTCCTACGCGGATTTTCGCGAATATGTAGGCAGCGAAATTGGATTTCCTGCGATGCACGTCGCAGCCAAAAATCGCGAACGACGACCTTGTCCGCCGGTCACGGATCCGTCGTCCAGCCGTATATTGCAAACGGGGAATCGCGCACGGGCGCTGACGAACCCGCGTCAACGCGATAAGTCCGGAAAGAATTATCGTTTAGAGCAAATAGAACTCGTGACAAGGATTCTATAGTTGAACCTGCGAAAGGATCATTGTCGATGTCTGCCCGGCTGATAACAGCGAATTCGTGACCCGACGTACGAATGCCTGTCAGGCCGTCCATTGAGACAAAGTGGGCGCCCCAAAAAACTCCTGCGCGGATTTTTGTGAATATGTAGGCAGCAAAAGTGGATTTCCTGCGATGCACGTCGCGGCCAAAAATCGCGAATGACGACCTTGTCCCCCGGTCTCGGACCCGTCGTCTAACCGTATATTGCGAACGGGGATTCGCGCACGAGCGCTGACGAACCAGCGTCAATGCGATAAGTCCGGAAAGAATTATCGTTTAGAGCAAACAGAACTCGTGACAAGGATTCTATAGTTGAACCTGCGAAAGTATCATTGTCGATGTCTGCCCGGCTGATAACAGCGAATTCGTGACCCGACGTACGAATGCCTGTCAGGCCGTCCATCGAGACAGAGTGGGAGCCCCAAAAAACTCTTGCGTGGATTTTCGCGAATTTGTAGGCAACAATAATGGATTTCCTGCGATGCACGTCGTGGTCGAAAATTGCGAACGACGACCTTGTCCGCCGGTCACGGACCCGTCTTCCAGCCGTATATTGCGAATGGGGATTTGCGCACGGGCACGGACGAACCAGCGTTAATGCGAGAAGTCAAGTAAGAATTATCGTTTAGAGAAAACAAAACTCGTAACAAGGATTCTATAGTTGAACCTGCGAAAGGATCATTGTCGATGTCTGCCCCAGCTGACAACAGCGAATTCGTGACCCGACGTACGAATGCCGGTCAGTCCGTCCATCGAGACAGAGTGGGCTCCCCAAAAAACTCCTGTGCGGATTTTCGCGAATATGTAGGCAGCAAAATTGGATTTCCTGCGATGCATGCCGCGGCCAAAAATCGCGAACGACGACCTTGTCTCCCGGTCTCGGACCCGTCGTCTAACCGTATATTGCGATCGGGGATTCGCGCACGAGCGCTGACGAACCAGCGTCAATGCGATAAGTCCGGAAAGAATTATCGTTTAGAGCAAACAGAACTCGTGACAAGGATTCTATAGTTGAACCTGCGAAAGGATCATTGTCGATGTCTGCCCCGGCTGACAACAGCGAATTCGTGACCCGACGTATGAATGCCGGTCAATCCGTCCATCGAGACAGAGTGGGCTCCCCAAAAAACTCCTATGCGGATTTTCGCGAATATGTAGGCAGCAAAATTGGATTTCCTGCGATGCATGTCGCAGCCAAAAATCGCGAACGACGACCTTGTCCCCCGGTCTCGGACCCGTCGTCTAACCGTATATTGCGAACGGGGATTCGCGCACGAGCGCTGACGAACCAACGTCAATGCGATAAGTCCGGAAATAATTATCGTTTAGAGCAAACAGAACTCGTGACAAGGATTCTATAGTTGAACCTGCGAAAGGATCATTGTCGATGTCTGCCCGGCTGATAACAGCGAATTCGTGACCCGACGTACGAATGCCGGTCAGGCGGTCCATCGAGACAAAGTGGGCGCCCCAAAAAACTCCTGTGCGGATTTTCACGAATATGTAGGCAGCAAAAATGGATTTCCTGCGATGCACGTCGCGGCCAAAAATCGCGAATGACGACCTTGTCTGCCGGTCTCGGACCCGTCGTCCAACCGTATATTGCGAACGGGGATTCGCGCACGAGCGCTGACGAACCAGCGTCAATGCGAGAAGTCCAGTAAGAATGATCGTTTAGAGAAAACAGAACTCGTAACAAGGATTCTATAGTTGAACCTGCGAAAGGATCATTGTCGATGTCTGCCTCGGTTGACAACAGCGAATTCGTGACTCGACGTACGAATGCCGGTCAGGCCGTCCATCAAGACAGAGTGGGCGCCCCAAAAAACTCCTGCGCGGATTTTCGCGAATATGTAGGCACCAAAAATGGATTTCCTGAGATGCACGTCGCGGCCAAAAATCGCGAACGATGACGTTGTCCGCCGATCACGGACCCGTCGTCGAGCCGTATATTGCGAACGGGGATTCGCGCACGGGCGCTGACGAACCAGCGTCAACACGAGAAGTCCAGTAAGAATTATCGTTTAGAGAAAACAGAAATCGTGACAAGGATTCTATAGTATAACCTGCGAAAGGATCATTGTCGATGTCTGCCCTGGCTGACAACAGCGAATTCTGGACCCGACGTTCGAATACCGGTTAGGCCGTCCGTCGAGACAGAGTGGGCGCCCCAAAAAACTCCTGCGCAGATTTTCGCGCATATCTAGGCACCAAAATTGGATTTCCTGCGATGCACGTCGCAGCCAAAAACCGCGAACGACGACCTTGTCCTCCGGTCACGGACCCGTCGTCCAGCCGTATATTGCGAACGGGGATTCGCGCACGGGCGCTAACGAACCAGCGACAATTCGAGAAGTCCGGTAAGAATTATCGTTTAGAGAAAAAGAACTTGTAACAAGGATTCTATAGTTGAACCTGCGAAAGGATCATTGTCGATGTCTGCCCCGGCTGACAACAGCGAATTCGTGACCCGACGTACGAATGCCGGTTAGGCCATCCATCGAGAGAGAGTGGGCGCCCCAAAAAACTTCTGCGCGGATTTGCGCGAATATGTAGGCAGCAAAAATGGATTTCCTGCGATGCACGTCGCGGCCAAAAATCGTGAATGACGACCTTGTCCGCCGGCCACGGACCCGTCGTCCAGCCGTATATTGCGAACGGGGATTTGCGCACAGGCGCGGACGAACCAGCATTAATGCGAGAAGTCCAGTAAGAATTATCGTTTAGAAAAAACTTAACTCGTAACAAGGATTCTGTAGTTGAACCTGCGAAAGGATCAATTTCGATGTCTGCCCCGGCTGACAAATACGAATTCGTGACCCGACGTACGAATGCCGGTTAGGCCATCCATCAAGAGAGAGTGGGCGCCCAAAAAAACTCCTGCGCGGATTTTCGCGAATATGTAGGCAGCAAAAATGGATTTCCTGCGATGCACGTCGCAGCCAAAAATCGCGAATGACAACCTTGTCCGCGGGTCACGGACCCGTCGTCCAGCCGTATATTGCGAACGGGGATTCGTACACGGGCGCTGACGAACCAGCGTCAATGCGATAAGTCCGGTAAGAATTATCGTTTAGAGAAAACAGAACTCGTGACAAGGATTTTATAGTTGAACCTGCGAAAGGATCATTGTCGATGTCTGCCCCGGCTGACAACAGCGAATTCGTGACCCGACGTTCGAATGCCGGTCAGACCGTCAGTCGAGACAGAGTGGGCGACCCAAAAAACTCCTGCGCGGATTTTCGCGAATATGTAGGCAGCAAAAATTGATTTCCTGCGCTGCACCTCGCTGCCAAAAATCGCGACCGACGACCTTGTCCGCCGTTCACGGACCCGTCGTCCAGCCGTATATTGCGAACGGGGATTCGCGAACGGGCGCTGACGAACTAGCTTCAACACGAGAAGTCCAGTAAGAATTATCGATTAGAGAAAACAGAACTCGTGACAAGGATTCTATAGTTGAACCTGCGAAAGGATCTTTGTCGATGTCTGCCCCGGCTGACAACAGCGAATTCGTGACCCGACGTTCGAATGCCGGTCAGACCGTCAGTCGAGACAGAGTGGGCGACCCGAAAAACTCCTGCGCGGATTTTTGCGAATATGTAGGCAGCAAAAATGGATTTCCTGCGCTGCACGTCGCGGCCAAAAATCGCGAACGACGACCTTGTCCGCTGTTCACATAGCGGTCGTCCAGCCGTATATTGCGAACGGGGATTCGCGCACGGGCGCGGACGAACCAGCTTCAACGCGAGAAGTCCAGTAAGAATTATCGTTTAGAGAAAACAGAACTCGTGACAAGGATTCTATAGTTGAACCTGCGAAAGGATCATTGTCGATGTCTGCCCCGGCTGACAACAGCGAATTCCTTACCCGACGTTCGAATGCCGGTCAGGCAGTCCGTCGAGACAGAGTGGGCGACCCGAAAAACTCATGCGCGGATTTTCGCGAATTTGTAGGCAGCAAAAATGGAATTCCTGCGATGCACATCGCGGCCAAAAATCGCGAACGACGACCTTGTCCGCCGTTCACGGACCCGTCGTCCAGCCGTATATTGCGAACGGGGATTCGCGCACGGGCGTTGACGAACCAGCTTCAACGCGAGAAGTCCAGTAAGAATTATCGTTTAGAGAAAACAGAACTCGTGACAAGGATTCTATAGTTGAACCTGCGAAAGGATCATTGTCGATGTCTGCCCCGGCTGACAACAGCGAATTCGTGACCCGACGTTCGAATGCCGTTCAGGCCGTCCGTCGAGAGAAGTGGGCGACCCGAAAAACTCCTGCGCGGATTTTCGCGAATTTGTAGGCAGCAATAATGGATTTCCTGCGATGCACGTCGCGGACAAAAATAGCGAATGACGACCTTGTCTGCCGTTCACGGACCCGTCGTCCAGCCGTATATTGCGAACGGGGATTCGCGCACGGGCGCTGACGAACCAGCTTCAACGCGAGAAGTCCAGTAAGAATTATCGTTTAGAGAAAACAGAACTCGTGACTGGGATTCTATAGTTGAACCTGCGAAAGGATCTTTGTAGATGTCTGCCCCGGCTGACAACAGCGAATTCGTGACCCGACGTTCGAATGCCGGTCAGACCGTCAGTCGAGACAGAGTGGGCGACCCAAAAACTCCTGCGCGGATTTTCGTGAATATGTAGGCAGCAAAAATGGATTTCCTGCGCTGTACGTCGCGGCCAATAATCGCGAACGACGACCTTGTCCGCTGTTCACGGACCCGTCGTCCAGCCGTATATTGCGAACGGGGATTCGCGCACGGGCGCTGACGAACCAGCGTCAACGGGAGAAGTCCAGTAAGAATTCTTGTTTAGAGAAAATAGAACTCGTGACAAGGATTCTATAGTTGAACCTGCGAAAGGATTATTGTCGATGTCTGCCCCGGCTGACAACAGCGAGTTCGTGATCCGACGTTTGAATGCCGGTCAGACCGTCCGTCGAGACAGAGTGGGCGACCCAAAAAACTCCTGCGCGGATTTTCGCGAATATGTAGGCAGCAAAAATTGATTTCCTGCGCTGCACCTCGCTGCCAAAAATCGCGAACGACGACCTTGTCTGCCGTTCACGGACCCGTCGTCCAGCCGTATATTGCAAACGGGGATTCGTGCACGGGCGCTGACGAACCAGCGTCAACGGGAGACGTCCAGTAAGAATTATCGTTTAGAGAAAACAGAACTCGTGACAAGGATTCTATAGTTGAACCTGCGAAAGGATCATTGTCGATGTCTGCCCCGGCTGACAACAGCGAGTTCGTGATCCGACGTTCGAATGCCGGTCAGGCCGTCCGTCGAGAGAGAGTGGGCGACCCGAAAAACTCCTGCGCGGATTTTCAGGAATTTGTAGGCAGCTAAAATGGATTTGCTGCGATGCACGTCGCGGACAAAAATAGCGAACGACGACCTTGTCCGCCGTTCACGGACCCGTCGTCCAGCCGTATATTGCGAACGGGGATTCGCGCACGGGCGCTGACGAACCGGCGTCAACGCGAAAAGTCCAGTAAGAATTATCGTTTAGAGAAAGCAGAACTCGTGACAAGGATTTTATAGTTGAACCTACGAAAGGATCATTTTCGATGTCTGCCCCAGCTGACAACAACGAGTTCGTGACCCGACGTTTGAATGCCGGTCAGACCGTCCGTCGAGACAGAGTGGGCGACCCAAAAAACTCCTGTGCGGATTTTCGCGAATATGTAGGCAGCAAAAATTGATTTCCTGCGCTGCACCTCGCTGCCAAAAATCGCGAACGACGACCTTGTCCGCCGTTCACGGACCCGTCGTCCAGCCGTGTATTGCAAACGGGGATTCGCGCACGGGCGCTGACGAACCAGCTTCAACGCGAGAAGTCCAGTAAGAATTATCGTTTAGAGAAAACAGAACTCGTGACAAGGATTCTATAGTTGAACCTGCGAAAGGATCTTTGTCGATGTCTGCCCCGGCTGACAACAGCGAATTCGTGACCCGACGTTCGAATGCCGTTCAGGCCGTCCGTCGAGAGAAGTGGGCGACCCGAAAAACTCCTGCGCGGATTTTCGCGAATTTGTAGGCAGCAATAATGGATTTCCTGCGATGCACGTCGCGGACAAAAATAGCGAACGACGACCTTGTCCGCCGTTCACGGACCCGTCGTCCAGCCGTATATTGCGAACGGGGATTCGCGCACGGGCGCTGACGAACCAGCTTCAACGCGAGAAGTCCAGTAAGAATTATCGTTTAGAGAAAACAGAACTCGTGACAAGGATTCTATAGTTGAACCTGCGAAAGGATCTTTGTCGATGTCTGCCCCGGCTGACAACAGCGAATTCGTGACCCGACGTTCGAATGCCGGTCAGACCGTCAGTCGAGACAGAGTGGGCGACCCAAAAACTCCTGCGCGGATTTTCGTGAATATGTAGGCAGCAAAAATGGATTTCCTGCGCTGTACGTCGCGGCCAATAATCGCGAACGACGACCTTGTCCGCCGTTCACGGACCCGTCGTCCAGCCGTATATTGCGAACGGGGATTCGCGCACGGGCGCTGACGAACCAGCGTCAACGGGAGAAGTCCAGTAAGAATTCTTGTTTAGAGAAAATAGAACTCGTGACAAGGATTCTATAGTTGAACCTGCGAAAGGATCATTGTCGATGTCTGCCCCGGCTGACAACAGCGAGTTCGTGACCCGACGTTTGAATGCCGGTCAGACCGTCCGTCGAGACAGAGTGGGCGACCCAAAAAACTCCTGCGCGGATTTTCGCGAATATGTAGGCAGCAAAAATGGATTTCCTGCGCTGCACCTCGCGGCCAAAAATCGCGAACGACGACCTTGTCCGCCGTTCACGGACCCGTCGTCCAGCCGTATATTGCGAACGGGGATTCGCGCACGGGCGCTGACGAACCAGCGTCAACGGGAGAAGTCCAGTAAGAATTATCGTTTAGAGAAAACAGAACTCGTGACAAGGATTCTATAGTTGAACCTGCGAAAGGATCATTGTCGATGTCTGCCCCGGCTGACAACAGCGAGTTCGTGACCCGACGTTCGAATGCCGGTCAGACCGTCCGTCGAGACAGAGTGGGCGACCCAAAAACTCCTGCGCGGATTTTCGCGAATTGTAGGCAGCAAAAATGGATTTCCTGCGCTGCACGTCGCGGCCAAAAATCGCGAACGACGACCTTGTCCGCCGTTCACGGACCCGTCGTCCAGCCGTATATTGCGAACGGGGATTCGCGCACGGGCGCTGACGAACCAGCGTCAACGCGAGAAGTCCAGTAAGAATTATCGTTTAGAGAAAACAGAACTCGTGACAAGGATTCTATAGTTGAACCTGCGAAAGGATCATTGTCGATGTCTGCCCCGGCTGACAACAGCGAGTTCGTGACCCGACGTTTGAATGCCGGTCAGACCGTCCGTCGAGACAGAGTGGGCGACCCAAAAAACTCCTGCGCGGATTTTCGCGAATATGTAGGCAGCAAAAATGGATTTCCTGCGCTGCACGTCGCGGCCAAAAATCGCGAACGACGACCTTGTCCGCCGTTCACGGACCCGTCGTCCAGCCGTATATTGCGAACGGGGATTCGCGCACGGGCGCTGACGAACCAGCTTCAACGCGAGAAGTCCAGTAAGAATTATCGTTTAGAGAAAACAGAACTCGTGACAAGGATTCTATAGTTGAACCTGCGAAAGGATCATTGTCGATGTCTGCCCCGGCTGACAACAGCGAATTCGTGACCCGACGTTCGAATGCCGGTCAGACCGTCCGTCGAGACAGAGTGGGCGACCCAAAAAACTCCTGCGCGGATTTTCGCGAATATGTAGGCAGCAAAAATGGATTTCCTGCGCTGCACGTCGCGGCCAAAAATCGCGAACGACGACCTTGTCCGCCGTTCACGGACCCGTCGTCCAGCCGTATATTGCGAACGGGGATTCGCGCACGGGCGCTGACGAACCAGCGTCAACGCGAGAAGTCCAGTAAGAATTATCGTTTAGAGAAAACAGAACTCGTGACAAGGATTCTATAGTTGAACCTGCGAAAGGATCATTGTCGATGTCTGCCCCGGCTGACAACAGCGAGTTCGTGACCCGACGTTCGAATGCCGGTCAGACCGTCCGTCGAGACAGAGTGGGCGACCCAAAAAACTCCTGCGCGGATTTTCGCGAATATGTAGGCAGCAAAAATGGATTTCCTGCGCTGCACGTCGCGGCCAAAAATCGCGAACGACGACCTTGTCCGCCGTTCACGGACCCGTCGTCCAGCCGTATATTGCGAACGGGGATTCGCGCACGGGCGCTGACGAACCAGCTTCAACGCGAGAAGTCCAGTAAGAATTATCGTTTAGAGAAAACAGAACTCGTGACAAGGATTCTATAGTTGAACCTGCGAAAGGATCATTGTCGATGTCTGCCCCGGCTGACAACAGCGAATTCGTGACCCGACGTTCGAATGCCGGTCAGACCGTCCGTCGAGACAGAGTGGGCGACCCAAAAAACTCCTGCGCGGATTTTCGCGAATATGTAGGCAGCAAAAATGGATTTCCTGCGCTGCACGTCGCGGCCAAAAATCGCGAACGACGACCTTGTCCGCCGTTCACGGACCCGTCGTCCAGCCGTATATTGCGAACGGGGATTCGCGCACGGGCGCTGACGAACCAGCGTCAACGCGAGAAGTCCAGTAAGAATTATCGTTTAGAGAAAACAGAACTCGTGACAAGGATTCTATAGTTGAACCTGCGAAAGGATCATTGTCGATGTCTGCCCCGGCTGACAACAGCGAGTTCGTGACCCGACGTTCGAATGCCGGTCAGACCGTCCGTCGAGACAGAGTGGGCGACCCAAAAAACTCCTGCGCGGATTTTCGCGAATATGTAGGCAGCAAAAATGGATTTCCTGCGCTGCACGTCGCGGCCAAAAATCGCGAACGACGACCTTGTCCGCCGTTCACGGACCCGTCGTCCAGCCGTATATTGCGAACGGGGATTCGCGCACGGGCGCTGACGAACCAGCTTCAACGCGAGAAGTCCAGTAAGAATTATCGTTTAGAGAAAACAGAACTCGTGACAAGGATTCTATAGTTGAACCTGCGAAAGGATCATTGTCGATGTCTGCCCCGGCTGACAACAGCGAATTCGTGACCCGACGTTCGAATGCCGGTCAGACCGTCCGTCGAGACAGAGTGGGCGACCCAAAAAACTCCTGCGCGGATTTTCGCGAATATGTAGGCAGCAAAAATGGATTTCCTGCGCTGCACGTCGCGGCCAAAAATCGCGAACGACGACCTTGTCCGCCGTTCACGGACCCGTCGTCCAGCCGTATATTGCGAACGGGGATTCGCGCACGGGCGCTGACGAACCAGCGTCAACGGAGAAGTCCAGTAAGAATTATCGTTTAGAGAAAACAGAACTCGTGACAAGGATTCTATAGTTGAACCTGCGAAAGGATCATTGTCGATGTCTGCCCCGGCTGACAACAGCGAGTTCGTGACCCGACGTTCGAATGCCGGTCAGACCGTCCGTCGAGACAGAGTGGGCGACCCAAAAAACTCCTGCGCGGATTTTCGCGAATATGTAGGCAGCAAAAATGGATTTCCTGCGCTGCACGTCGCGGCCAAAAATCGCGAACGACGACCTTGTCCGCCGTTCACGGACCCGTCGTCCAGCCGTATATTGCGAACGGGGATTCGCGCACGGGCGCTGACGAACCAGCGTCAACGCGAGAAGTCCAGTAAGAATTATCGTTTAGAGAAAACAGAACTCGTGACAAGGATTCTATAGTTGAACCTGCGAAAGGATCATTGTCGATGTCTGCCCCGGCTGACAACAGCGAGTTCGTGACCCGACGTTCGAATGCCGGTCAGACCGTCCGTCGAGACAGAGTGGGCGACCCAAAAAACTCCTGCGCGGATTTTCGCGAATATGTAGGCAGCAAAAATGGATTTCCTGCGCTGCACGTCGCGGCCAAAAATCGCGAACGACGACCTTGTCCGCCGTTCACGGACCCGTCGTCCAGCCGTATATTGCGAACGGGGATTCGCGCACGGGCGCTGACGAACCAGCGTCAACGCGAGAAGTCCAGTAAGAATTATCGTTTAGAGAAAACAGAACTCGTGACAAGGATTCTATAGTTGAACCTGCGAAAGGATCATTGTCGATGTCTGCCCCGGCTGACAACAGCGAGTTCGTGACCCGACGTTTGAATGCCGGTCAGACCGTCCGTCGAGACAGAGTGGGCGACCCAAAAAACTCCTGCGCGGATTTTCGCGAATATGTAGGCAGCAAAAATGGATTTCCTGCGCTGCACGTCGCGGCCAAAAATCGCGAACGACGACCTTGTCCGCCGTTCACGGACCCGTCGTCCAGCCGTATATTGCGAACGGGGATTCGCGCACGGGCGCTGACGAACCAGCGTCAACGCGAGAAGTCCAGTAAGAATTATCGTTTAGAGAAAACAGAACTCGTGACAAGGATTCTATAGTTGAACCTGCGAAAGGATCATTGTCGATGTCTGCCCCGGCTGACAACAGCGAATTCGTGACCCGACGTTCGAATGCCGGTCAGACCGTCCGTCGAGACAGAGTGGGCGACC